CTATTTGAAGCATTATTTAAAAGGTGGATGAACTTTGTCAGGTTTGCCATCAGCAATGTCAACATCTGTTAGCATTCCTCCACAAATGAACACTTGACTTTATTGCAACACAATAGCAGAATATTCCAAAAGTGTCCAAATGTATATACAGCCAATTCACCAAACTGCAAAGGAAAGTGACCAATGAATCAATCAATCAAATGTCATATGTATAGCCCATATTCACAGATCAGAATTATTTCTCATAGGGCTTAACAAGGTGTGACAAACCTTCTGTCCTTAACCCTCAGCCTAAGGACTNGTGTGTGTGTGTGTGTGTGTGTGTGTGTGTGTGTGTGGGGGGGTCTCTACTCCTGGCACCTGGCTGCAATCATCCTCAACACCAGCATTACAAGAACCCTGGTCTCTCCGCTGCTCATCTGCAGATTGTTACAGTCCCTCCTGTGGTACACACTCTGGGCCGGACTCAAAGTGTTCTTTAGAAGAAGAACCTCCTCGCTTGTTTTTACATGCAACTAACCTTGTTATCTGTGCCTCAGGATTGCCAGAGCTCAACCTGCCTGCCCTCGCTCCTTCTCACTTTCGGACTGCTTCTACCAATCCCTCTACTTCTAGTTCTGGGTACTGCTAACCTGCTACCACTCCCTGAGTGGTTGTTCCTGTGTGCGTGATTGCCTGTAGGTGCACTGGAGTCAGAGCAGAGCCTCATCAGCTGCACCTTATCTGTCATCAAGCATCTTCATATACTCCTTCCACGCTGCCAGATCATAGTCTCTGCTACCAGTTAGTTTTCACTTCAAGCCATTCATTGTGTTTGCTATTTAGAATTTAGCCCTTGTTGTCTGATCTCATACTGTTCTCCATCCTATCCTCCTGCTCTGGCTCCGGTCCCTGCTCTTTGTCCCCTCACCTGGCTAGAAATCTGCTATCCTGGAACCCAGCCTTACACCCCTCACCTTGGATAACCTTCTGGACCTGTCACCATTACCCCCATCGCTCCAGCCTCAGCCTAAAGCTCCAGGCTCCCCACTACCAACCCCAGCTCTCCCTAAACTGCATCCTGGCAGTAAATACCTTTCACTTACTCCTGTCTCCATGTCTGTGTCTGTGCCTGTGTTCACCTGTCCAACAGTTCCACTTAACAGCAGGTTCATTATTGCAAATACCTGCACTGTTCCTTAGTGATTTTATGCTCTGGTTACTAACTGAACATCACATGTACCATTTTGTGGAATGACCCCAAAACAACTGGCAATATTATCCAGTTGCCATCAAGGATGCATGTATAGTTTTACCATAATATAAATATGGCAACCATTATTTAAAAGGTGGATGAACTTTGTCAGGTTTGCCATCAGCAATGTCAACATCTGTTAGCATTCCTCCACAAATCAACACTTGACTTTATTGCAACACAATAGCAGAATATTCCAAAAGTGTCCAAATGTATATACAGCCAATGCACCAAACTGCAAAGGAAAGTGACCAATGAATCAATGAATCAAATGTCATATGTATAGCCCATATTCACAGATCTGAATTATTTCTCATAGGGCTTAACAAGGTGTGACAAACCCTGCTGTCCTTAACCCTCAGCCTAAGGACAACTACCAAAAAACTACATTAACGAACTAAATAAACAGGTGAACAAAATGTAGATACTTTAGAGAGAGCCACATGTGACGAATCCCTCTCCCAAGATGGACAGGAGTGCAATAGATGCTATGTGTAACTGAGAACATCAGCAAAATAAGAGTTTTTACAACATGATTAGAAGAAACAGTTTGTAACATAATGGAAAGGTGTGTCAAAGTATGTTTACAAAGTAATCTGCATGTTCCCTATCAGTGATGGTCAATAAACCAAGTCTCTAAGAGAAACAGCGAGGAACAGGGTTGTAAAAGCAATTACTTCATGTAACAACATGTAGCACTCAATAAAAAGGACAAACAAACAACTACTTCATGGTAATTTCAGTCTTTGAATGTTTGTACATGTAATTGAAACAACAGGGTTATTTAATAGATTCAAATACAGACATGAAAAAGGTTTTGACCAAATTGGTTGCAGGTAAAAACTGCACTTTCATCAGTTTGGCTTCGCAGCTGTTGAGGAAGAGACCATTATAAAGTCTTCACTGCCCTCTTGTGGTGAAACCATATTATATTCACAGAGCTCTGTCGGTCTACCTCAGACCAAACCATTAATGGATCTCAATATGTGAGCTGTATGTGCTTTAAGAGATTTGATCTGACCCACTAGAATTAATGGGGAGAGCTTGAGTGGAAATTATTTTTAAAAACCCGTCCGTCTAGGCTCGATTTTCTGCTCTTATACTGCTAATTGCAGACACTATCTCTCAAACCTTTTAATGGCCCTTCCAGGACAACCATTATTACCAGATCTATAGATGGGACATTCAGTTTTTTTAAATAATCAAAAGCTGTTGGGCTAGTAGATTGATTTGAGAATTATAACAATTGATAAATTCTAAGAAAACAAATTAATTTCTGCATTGTCTGTATGTTTTATAAGTATACTCATAAACTCAGCTAGAATATCTTATTTCTAAAATAGAATATGTAGCACGCAAGTTTTTCAGTTATCAATCTCTTGTCTTCTCTCTTTCTTCTCTGCCACTATTTCTACAGCCAAAAGCTTTTTTTATCAGACATAATTCAATCCTCATTTTCCAACCCCAAAAAACTGCCCCCTGCCCCCTCCTCCTTCCACCCTTCTACCAAGCCACTTTGTCAACTACTTCACAAAAAAGATAGAAGACATCGTCCTCATTTTTAAAGTCACCCTCTGTAACATTTCCATAAACGTCATCTTCATCTTCATCCCCTTCTCTTAACTCTTTCACCCCCCTGTCTCCCAATTAGGTTCTTACCCTGGTTACCTCGGCCCATCCAACCACCTGCCCCCTTGACCCCATACCCTTCACTTTCTCCAGTCTATTGCTCCCCTACTTCTTCCTTTTCTCACCCATCTCATGAACACTTCCCTGCTAACTGGCTGTTTCCCTAACTCTCTTCAAAAGGCAAGAGTAAACATCTCTCCTGAAGAAACCCACCCTCAACCCATGTGGAGTAAACAACTACAGACCTGACTCTCTTCTTCCTTTTCTTTCCAGAGCACTTGAGCCTGCTATCTTTCATCAACTCTCCTCCTATCTTCACCAGAACAACCTTCTTGATCTTCAACAGTGTGGCTTCAAGGCAGACCACTCAACTGAGACTGCCCTCCTTGCTGTCTCTGAGCAACTTCACACTGCTCCCTCTCTCTCCTCTGTCCTCATCCTTCAAGACCTTTCTGCTGCATTTGACACAGTGAACCACCAGGGGC